TAATTTGTAAACAATGAGCAATGATGTACCCTATCGAAGGCCTTCTCATAGTCCACAAATGCACAATAGAAACTACCTTTTAACTGAAAGACATATTTTTCCACAAGAGTACGTAAAATGCTTTGAAACTAATATCATTTTTAAAGCGGAAGGGTCGCCATCTGCACACCCGTCCCAAGCGACGATAACAACACACCCAAAAAACGCAAAGGTAGACGCTTGTTTGTACAATGATACGCTCGGACCATCTGACGCATGCGCAGGTGACGACTCCTCCGCTTTAAATATCTACCTATGTTTTTTTATTTATTTTATTACCTCTTGTAATATCGATCATACGGAAATAACACCAGTAATCATGTTATTTTCAATATTTCTCACTTCAGGTTTAGTGGTTTTTTGCATATCGTTGGGTCTAGCTATGAGTACCGACAGAACATCTACCAAGCCTTTATTGGATCTTATGATGGCGTTAAGAGTAGGGGTCTTCAAAATGTTCAATGTTTACATTTGGTAAGTTTGCCAACATCCCCACCGTAGACATCAAATATCTTTCAAATTGTATTGTTCAAATACTATTTATAATTGAAAATTGGCATTTTTACGTGTTACATCCTTAACAATCCAGAAATATCAAAAACAACCTGTATAATTGCGGTGTCGCAATCAACAATGAATTTCGGCACAGTAGGCCAACGAAGTTGTTTTGGTTTAGTCGATGATCTGTGAAACTACCTAAATCCTAAAATACATGTAAATTTAAACATACACAAGAACTCATCTTTCACAATCACACACTCAGTGAAAATAAATAATGCAAAATAATAATAATGTGATAATAAAGGATTTTCGTGCACGTGACATTCTGAGTTTAAATATCATGTGGTATTTTTGTCAGACTATGTCATACAAATTTCCTAGTTGTCTCTTTCGCAGCCATACTGCATGACGAGTGTGATTTGAAACAGCACAAAATCCAACAACAAATATCTTCCTTTGACTTACTCGTATAAAAGTTACCGCGCGTGTCGAACGAGATGCTGACGTCACAGGCAGACAGAATGATGTCGCAATTTTCAGGATTATGTGGTAAATCAAACATTCACCTGCCAAGCTGCAAGTTTAGTAGATATTGTGAGGACTATAGTATTTCGGTGCTTATAACTCGGCTAGCTTGAACGAGGATTGACGATATGGCGAAATCAACTTGACAATGCGTTTATGCACGAAAATGTTGTAATATACTAGTAGTTTATTTGTTTTCTGTCAGGACGTTACCTGTAGGGACTGCAAGTCTCATCGCCTCGTCTTTGTTGAGAGTTGATGATATGTACGGAATCTGGCAAAGTTTGGGTAAATTCGCCGCCGCTGTGATCGTTTCCTTGGCAATATACGAGTTTATATGGATGCCGTTGGGCTATTTTGCCAGCACGAGAAAGAACCCATTTATTGTATACTATCGCATTGGTCGGGCTTTATTCACGGCACTGGTCTCAAAAAGCAGGTATGCCTATCTTTTTTTTATATATATAAAAAAGTTGATGTTTGGAGAAAGTTGTTTAGTTCAAGTCAACCTTTTTATCGCAAATTTGTATTTAATTTGGGCAAACAAAATTTCTCGCGAAATCCCGACAACAAATCCACGTGATTCGTAGTAACTATCGTCTGCTCCTCTTTCAGTGCTGCCACTTTACCAGTGCTGTTCAAATGTTGCGAGTATGGCCTTAAATTTCATAACAAAGTCTGCAGCTTTGCGTTGCCGATTACTATGTTCAAAGGAGATGGTTCGGCACTGTTTATAATATGCAGTGTACTGTGGTTAGGCCAACGAGCTGGAATGGATATGGGGGCTGATCAGATTGCACTTGCAGGGTGAGTTTTATTGAAATCCCACTTAATGTCGTTTTCGAGAAATATAAAATTGTCTGTGCCATTTGAAGTATATAGCGGCAATCGTCATCACCACTCTTTAGTTATGCTGATGACACAAACCTTCTTCATCTTACCTATCAGCATATGTCGTCATACTACAAACGAACTAGAACAAAAGTGGCAGAACAGTTTCCATCAAGTTTGTTTAATCAGCTTTTGGGAGTTACATAGCCTAAATTGGTTACATATGTCTATGAATATTACAACAACGATTTTATGCCACAAATATGACCAAAAAATAGCCGAATTGCCGCACACGAGCATATAAGCATTACATTGAAACGTCCGCCAATGCCGTTCATAAAAAGGAAAGGTTAGTTGGTAGAATGATTTTCTATGAGGGCGCACTTCAATTTTCTCTCTATATTTTTCTAGCATACTGACTGTGATTTTGACATTCTGTTTACCTGCTGTGCCGAGTGCTAGCTTGGTTGGTATTGTTCTTATATGTAATTCTACTGGCATTCCGTCAGAGGAAGTCGGTCTTCTAATATCCATGGAGTGGCTTTTGTGAGTAAATATTCCTTTATCACTATTGCGTAATTTTAGTTTGCTACTATATCAGCATAGCACTTTCGTGGCAATATGGTTTCTTAAAACAACGAACTGCAGGAATGCGCATGTGTTTTGAATTATTGGTACGTACTATTAATGCGTGTATACAAGCACACATTTGTCATGGTCCATATTGCATTTTGAGTACAAATGTACATTGTAACTAATATGCAAATTATTTCTAATTATTTATGCTAATTTATAAAAATTCGTAAAATGGAATGTGTATGTGAATGTTGATTCTTATTGTTCCAGGGATGCTTTACGGACCTGTGTGAACGTCTCTAGTCATGGCATCTGCACAGGAATCGTCAATCACTTCATGCGTAATTCTTCCTTTGGAGACGATGACGATGACAATGACAATGACAACATATCAGCTGAATCCGGGGAATACACAGTGAAAGTAGTGCAACCGAATTCAGATGATGTCCAAAGACCAGAGTTGTACAAGTTGGTAGATCAGAACGGACAAACAGACGGATAAACATCATGTGACATTGGGGATGTTGATCAACAAAGTACTGACTTTAAAAAAAAATATTTCATGAAGCGATATTTTATAGTTTTTAAATATTAATTAATTAACCCTATTTTGACATCGCGACTGATATAGCTCCACCACTAGAAAACATGGTCACAGTAAACGTAGATTCAACATTTGTTGCGAAGTTTTTGTATCACTATACGGCACCTTAGCCGTCAAGGAGCAGTGTACGGGTAGCCATTGCAGGTTCCTTCGTAAATGCCTGTGGAAACGCTGATTTATTTATCTAAACTTAAAATCCTCAAAATAAATTTCTTGATTATTCAATGATTTTAGGTTACGGTTTTTTTGTTGTTGATGTAATAATCCTATATTGTTGGTAAATCTTTTCTCAGGAAAAAACAATTCTGAAAAGTTGAATTCGACTTTCCTTCATTCAATGAAAACATAGCTGATGATATGTACTCTAATTATAGAATATGGCAACACACAAAACAATTAATAGTTGAAAGATAAAAGGTTTGGTAGTAACTTTCTTCGGCCAAACACATTATTTATGAGACAAATAGAGTTAGGAACCGCTGAAATATGATTTAACAACTGTACACAAGCCGTGGTGTTCGCTAATAATGTAAAATGTTCCGGCGTCCACAAATTGTGTATTTGTGGCGCCCTCTATCGGATGCCATGTACTACGTGTTTCCGCTGTAGACAATCTATTTTCATCAGATATTAAACCAGTGAATAACGAAATAAATATTTTCGGGAATAGTTTTTTTGTTTTTAACATCTGGATATACTTCTAAGAAGTAACCATTGACATAAATAACCACAACTGTGTCCTTTTGTGTACGTACAAATCAATCTAAATGTGTGTGTATAAGTCGAACGAAGTTATTTTTTTGTAAAAATATTCGTTTTTGTTTCTTGTTAATTAAAATTGAGTTGTCATTGCTTGTCTTGTTTCGCTGTGTCGTTGCACTGAACTGATGTTTAAGAACACAGTTGAACCGATGCCCTTCACACAAGTTGTGCCTGTGCAATGCCCACCCACACGCTTCCCATTTTAGATCTGTGTCCCACTGAAATAGGCAATTATTGATTTTTTTGCTGAAAATGATTACTCGTATCCAAGTAAATTTGAGATATTTCCCGTGCTGTAGCCACGCCCACCTATCCTGAAACGGTCGACTGTTTCCGGATTTCCGACTCTCGCCGAAAGTGCGCCACCAAATGCAAAAATATGAGAGGAAGCCATACCTCTGGGCCGTACTTTTATATCACTGTGTCATTCAATGTACAACTGTACTTTTAAACGATATACATTTTTTAATCGGCGTTTCTTTTGTCTATTTTATTTTATTTTTGAGAGAGCGAATTTTTAGAAATTGTTTTCACAACAAACTTTTTGTGTTGTGGGCGGTTGCAGTAATGCGTGTAGTCATAGTGTAAGTACTAGTATTTCCACGTTTCCAATCGATCCGAAGGTGCGAAATCGGTGGACGAAAGCCGTGAAAATAACGGGAAAAGGTTGGGTGGACTAACAGCGTCATATGCAGTGTCCACTTCATCTCAGATTCTTTTTTTTTTTTGAAAAACTGTCCTTGTCCATGACAAAACAGCTAGGTTTTAACGAGAAACGCCGACAATACAAAACGTTTTCGAAAAAATAGATTCCGTACCAGCCCATGATCACTGAGACGAATTTTAGAAGGGAGAGAGACGTAGAGTACGTGTTTCAAATGATTTGATTTTATTTGCGATCCTGATTATCGCTTTATAGAGACCACCCGTGTTATGTAAAAGGTAGCAGTAATTTTGATAATGACTCGAAAACGAAGCGTCGGACAAACAGGAAATTACGCAGCCCTCAGGCTGTTTTCATTTTCGCAGGCTAAAAGTGTTGCCTTTACTTGCAGCTTGATCGGCGTAATAATTTACGGAATAAGAATCAGAGCTTGAGCTGTCAA